AAATAGACCTTGACATTTGGGAGCTCTAGTTGCTGGGATTTATAGTTCACCTACAATCAAAGAGCATTCTGAACCCCAGCAATGATAGAATTGGGCCAAACTTCCCACACAGAACTGCCATACCTTGAAGGTACTTGCTGGCATGAGACTCCCTCCAGCCTTGCCCGCTCTCCCTCACCTGAGCATGCACACTATGCTGCCATGTGCTGAGCACTCCTGCTCTCCCCTCCCCAGTTGATGTCTCTGAAACAGCCCTCCACTTAGTTCAGAGGCTGGCCAATCATATCGGAGGAGGGCTTTTGGTGCGAGAATTCGCCATCTTTTTCCAAAAAGGAAGAGAAAGGCAGGCAGAGAGATCTTCAGCCTTCTCTGCCAAAGGGGTTCCTAAGATCATCAGAAATATATGTTTTCTGGTGGTCTTTGGTGACCCCTCTGATACCCCCTTGTGACCCCCAAGCTGGGAAAGCTGATGTAGGGGATAGCACTGAAAAGGACAACAACTGGGAGGAAAGGAGAACATTAACTCCATGTAGAGTCTTTGCAAATTGCTGGAAGAAATCAGTTGTAGCATTCTCCTCTCTTTATTATCTGAGCTGGAGATTCAGATACAACTCTGGTCCTCTTGTACTTTGCTGAGACACGGTTTCATCTTCAGCTCTTGTTTGGAAGCTCATAGCTCATGCTGGCAGCAATTTCTTTAACTAGTCATAGTCCCATAGCCCCCAGATGTGTTTGCAGGCCCGCAAAGATGCTCACCTTAGCCACGGACATCAATATAGGTTCAATTTAACATGGATTTTAATGCCATGGAGGTGTTTGCGGCACTCGATACTGTCATTTTCTCTGATCATTCTTTGATGTTTTCCCTCTTGCTGCTGACAGAAGTTTTCAACTTTTCCTTTTTGACTTTGGGCCAAGCTTCACACATCCGAGTGTCCAAATGAACGGGTGACAAGTGCTTAAGGGTCTTTTTTGAGGCAAAGCCTTCGCTTTGACTCCTTCTTTTCAAGCCAAATCCGGCAGAAGTAATCCTTTCTTTCTACAGGAGCCATTTCATCCTCCCTTCGCCCTAGATCTCCTCCGCCTCCATCACACCTTCTATTTTGTGGGCCTTCATTTGTTCACACTTTAAAGAGAAGTGACATTTCGACTGCCTTGGCAAATCTCTTCCCAAGGGCTTTGCGGGCAACAGGCAGGAAGGCGGCTGGTGGATGCAAAGGCGCCAACGTAGCAAGCAAATCTGTGCATTGGAGCTGTCTCATCAGGTTTTCATTTTTGTATGGCAAATATCTCAGGTGTTTTTGAGATATGAGGTGGGGAAGATACAACCTGTGTACCCTGCAAATATATATCTATATTTATATATCTATACACGTAATAAAAGTGAAAATCATCTATCGGACAGATGGCAAGCTATTTAACCTCAGCAGACTGAAAGCCAAAACGACGTTCATTATTTTATTTATTTATTTACCATATTTATATACTGCCTTTCTCAGCCCGAAGGCGACTCAAGGCAGTTTATAACATCTGTTATAGAACTCCAATATACAGATGACAACATCTGTGTGCATTCAGAAGAAGACCTACAAGCCACTCTAAATCCCTTTGCAGAAGCATACGAGAAGCTCGGCCTCTCATTGAACATCAAGAAAACCAAAGTGCTCTTCCAGCATGCACTGGACAATCCCCCTCCAATGCCAGATATACAGCTTAATGGTGTAATATTAGAAAATGTTGACCATTTCCACTCCCTTGCAGCCACCTCTCCACAAAAGTCAACATTGAGACTGAAATACAACATTGCCTGAGCTCTGCAAGTGCAGTGTTTTTCTGAATGAAGCAGAGTGTGTTTGAGGACTGGGACATCCATAGGAAGACACACCACGAAGACACTACACTTGGAGGACCATCATTCTCAGGTAGCATTTTTCCAAATGAAGCAGAGAGTGTTTGACATCTGTAGGGAGACCAGGTTTGGGAGAAAGCCATTTGCTTCCAACCCTGCTATACTCCTGTGAAATGTGGACTGTCTACAGATGTCACATGCAACTCCTGGAACGATTCCATCAGCGCTGCCTCCGAAAAATCATGCAAATCTCTTGGGAAGACAGGCAGACAAATGTCAGTGTGCTGGAAGAAGCAAAGACCACCAGCATTGAAGTGATGTCCTCCGCCATAAACTCTGCTGGACCAGCCACGTTGTTCGAATGCCCGATCACCGTCTCCCAAAGCAGTTGCTCTACTCCGAACTCAAAAATGGGAAACGTAATGTTGGAGGACAGGAAAAGAGATTTAAAGATGGGCTTAAAGCCAACCTCAAAAACTGTGGCATAGACACCGAGAACTGGGAAGCCCTAACTGGAGGTCAGCTGTGACCAGCAGTGCTACAGAATTTGAAGAGGTGCAAATGGAAGGCAAAAGGGAGAAATGTACCAAGAGGAAGGCGTGTCAAGTCAACCCTGACCTAGACCACCTTCCATATGGAAATTGATGTCCTCACTGTGGGAGAATATGTGGATCAAGAATAGGGCTTCACAGCCACCTATGGACCCACTGCCAAGACACCACATCTGGAAGATAATCATCCTCAAGTTATGAGGGATCACCTAAGTAAGTAAAAAAATAGAAAATATTTATGTGTGTGTGGCTGGGGTGTCCACTTACACAGATAAGCTCCTGCCTCCACAAACAGCTCTAGCTCCCACCCCTCAGGAGGGACCAAAGGCCCTCCCTCCAATGACACTGCAGGTTATAGTGAACACCATGAACATGTACAAGAGTCTTGCTATTGTCCTCCACAAACACCACTATGTCTGAGAAAAGAGGTTGATGGAGTGCACTCTTGCATAAGTTCTGCCACAGAATTTGTTTCAGGGAGGTCTAAAACATGGAAATCATTCAAAGATGGTGGTGGGTTTCCATCCTTGTCCTACAAGGACGATCCAAGGTTCACATCATATGAACACAGAATCGAGGTCTTGTCATGTTTTGGTTCCTTGACGACTGTCTCATGACATGAAGTGTGGCACAAATTGACATCTCCAGAAAATCAGGGTCTCTCAACTATCAAGATGGAAAAATAAATATCGCAGCTAAGAATTTTAAAAATCCATCGAAGTGCTCGGTAGGGTGTGACAACGAGGGAGGTGTGACTTGTTCCTAAAAATAAATACTAAAAGTGGCAGGTGCTACAGCAATCTGTAATGCACAGTGGAGCATGCCATAAGATATTACTTTGTCTTTTCATCCCTTGCCAACAGGCTTAGCCTTCACGTTTTGTCACTCATCCGTGCTGCTTTGCTCTTGAGGGACCGCAGCAAAATCCTTTTGTTTCCAGAAAGTTCAAGGATTATGTGTGCCATGTGAGTGTATGTACAGATGGAAAGTTGTGTTGACCTTTTAAAAAATCGGATAAGTTTAACACCTACCCCCCACCCCCCGGATTTCTCGCTGCTGCAAGAAGCCACAGATCTCTGGTTTCTGATCCCTGGCACATTTACTTTCCTTTCTCCCATTGCAAGAAGTAACTAAGATCAATGTTTTCGTTTGGGTTTTAGCCACAAATTAGTTCTTTTACAAGGTTCTACAGCAGCATTTTCAACCTAGGGGCGATCATGAGGGGGTTTCAGAGAGGTCACCAAAGACCATCAGAAAACATATATTTCTGATGGTCTTAGGAACCCATTTGACAGAGAAGGCTGTCCTTCTCTTCCTTTTTGGAAACTGACTGCGAATCCTCCAACCAAAAGCCTTCCTCGGTTGTGATTGGCTGGTCTCTCAGCCAAGTGGAGGGCTCTTTCTGAGACTCCAATCGGGAAGGGGAGAGCAGACCTGTTCAGCGCATGGCAGAGTGATGCACATGTGCAGACAAGGGAGAGTGTGTGAGGTTGGAGGGAATCTTATGCCAGGAAGTCCCTTCAAGGTATGGGAATTCTGTGTGGGATGTTTGGCCCAATTCTATTGTTGGTGGGGTTCACAATGCTTTTTGTTTGTAGGTGAACTATAAATCCCAGCAACAACAACTCTCAAGTGTCAAGGTCTATTTTACCCAAACTCCACCAGTATTCAAATTTGGGCATATTGAGTACTCATGCCAAGTTTGGTCCAGATACACCATTGCTTGAGTCCACATTGCTTTCTGGATTTGGGGGAACTCCAACTCCAAAACTCAAGGTCAATGCCCACCAAACCCTTCCAGTATTTTCTGTTGGTCATGGGAGTTCTGTGTGCAAAGTTTGGTTCAATTCCATCCTTGGTGGAGTTCAGAATGCTCTTAGATTGTAGGTGAACTATAAATCTTGGCAACTACGACTCCCAAATGACAAAATCAATCCTCCCCAACCCCAGAGATATTCAAATTTGGGCGTTTTGGGTATTTGTGCCAAATTTGGTCCAGTGAATTGAAATACCTCCTGCATATCAGAGATTTACATGATGATTCATAACAATAGCAAAATGACAGTTATGAAGTAGCAACGAAAATAATTTTCTGGTTGGGGTCACCACAACATGAGGAACTGTATTAAGGATCGCGGCATTAGGAAAGTTGAAAAACACTGTTTTACAGCTTTTCTAGCATGGGAAGGTTCATGTTGGATTCTTAAGATTGGGAGACCATCCAGAAGAAAGTCTTGGCAACACTTTTTCCACATCAGAGAGAGAGAGTCCAAACCAAAATTGTATGAGCCAAATAGTCAAATTCCTTTTGTCTGGATATTTTGTGTAGTCAAGTTGCTTTTATTGCTTTCTTCACATTGAGGTTTATAAATGATGAGGAAATTGGTTAATTTTGGAAATGTTTCGAGAAAACCAAAGCAAGCAAAAATTATTATTATTACATTTTGGTTAGAAAAATAGTGGCTTACCGCAGCAAGTGAAAGATAAACACCACTTAATTCAAAGGAATATGAGTGCTGTGGTTTCAAACTCTCCATGTTTCAGCTTATTCATAATCCCCTCTCTCCCTTTCCTCCTTTTCTCTTTTTACTTGTTCCCAGGTCTGTCCAAATCCTTGGGGCTCATTGAAGGCTATGGTGGCCGTGGCAAAGGTGGCTTGCCTGCCACCCTTTCCCCTGGCGAGGAAGAGAAAGCAAAGGGACCCCATGAGAAATATGGCTACAATTCCTACCTGAGTGAAAAAATATCACTGGACCGCACGATACCAGATTATCGACCAACCAAGTAAGTCTCCTAACACAATTATACAATATATTATTATCATAGATTTGATAAAGCTAGAGTGTTTCACCAGTCCTCTTTTGTCTATGTCTTATAAACCTTGGAAGTTTATAAACTTGGAACATTAGAAAATGTTGCCCATTTCCACTACCTTGGCAGCCACCTCTCTGCCAAAGTCAACATTGACACCGAAATACAACACCGCCTGAGCTCTGCGAGTGCAGCATTTTTCCAAATGAAGCAGAGAGTGTTTGAGGACAGGGATATCCATAGGGATACCAAGATGCATGTTTATAAAGCTATTGTCCTCCCAACCATGCTATATGCCTGTGAAACGTGGACTGTCTACAGACTTCACATGCAACTCCTAGAACGATTCCATCAGCGTTGCCTCCGGAAAATCTTGCAAATCTCTTGGGAAGACAAGCAGACAAATGTCAGTGTGCTGAAAGAAGCAAAGACCACCAGCATTGAAGTGATGGTCCTCCGCCATCAACTCTGCTGGACCGGCCACGTTGTCCGGATGCCCAACCACCGTCTCCCAAAGCAGTTGCTCTACTCCAAACTCAAGAACAGAAAACGGAATGTTGGGGGACAGGAAAAGAGATTGAAAGATGGGCTCAAAGCCAACCTTAAAAACTCTGGCATAGACACTGAGAACTGGGAAGCCCTGGCCCTTGAGCGCTCCAGCTGGAGGTCAGCTGTGACCAGCAGTGCTGCAGAATTTGAAAAGGCACGAATGGAGGGCAAAAGAGAGAAATGTGTGAAGAGGAAAGTGTATCAAGCCAACCCCGACCGAGACCGCCTTCCACCTGGAAACCAATGCCCTCACTGTGGGAGACGGTGCAGATCAAGAATAGGGCTCCATAGTCACCTACGGACCCACCCTGGAGGATTATCCTACTTGGACAACGAGAGATCGCCAAAGTAAGTAAGAAACCTTGGAAGTACAGTAGAGTCTCACTGATCTGACCTTCGCTCATCCAACGTTCTGTATTATCCAATGCAGTCTGACTCCCGCCCGGATCCACTGCTGTTTCAATACATTGCAATGTTTTGGTGCTAAATTTGTAAATACAGTCAAGTCTCGCTGATCCGACCTTTGCTCATCCAACATTTTGTATTATCCAATGCAGTCTGCCTCCCACTCGGATCCACTGCTGTTTCACTACATTGCAATATTTTGGTGCTAAATTCGTAAATACAGTAATTACTACATAACGTTACCGTGTATTGAATTGCTTTTTCTGTCGATTTGTTGTAAAACATGATGTTTTGATGCTTAATTTGTAGAATCATCACATAATTTGATGTTTAATAGGATTTTCCTTAATCCCTCCATGTTGTCCACCATTTTCGCTTACCCAACTTTCTGCCGGCCCTTTTATATTGGATAAGTGAGACACTGTATCGTTTCGGGTATAACTAATACCTCAAAAGCACCACAGCTATAGAGTCCTATTCTGCAAGTGATGTTTCCATAGTCTGAAAGTAAAGATTATCTGAGACTTTGGTCACATCCAGACTAACCACTTAACGTGCAAGGGTCACAGATCAGCTCTGTGAAGCCAAAGGGGTCGAGCTTAGCACAGCAGGCTAAACCGCTGTGCTGCAGAAAAATCCTGTCAATCCAAAGGTCAACAGTTCGAGCCCAGGTCAGGGTAGAGCACTTCCCGTTAGCCCCAGCTCACCTAGCAAGTCGAAAGCAGAAATGCGAGTAGATAAAATAGGTACCACTTTTAGTGTGGAGGTAATAAAGGCACCCTTAAGGACATTGATCAGAGGGAAGCTCCTCGGCATGGAAGATGGAGCAACAGCAACCTCTCCCCTTCATTGCCAAAGTTGGGCACAGCCTCCAAGATGCCTGGAGTGGAAGGGCAGAAAAATCCTGTTGATCGGAAGGTTGGGGTTGAGCACGGGGTGGCATTAATAGTTAGGAGAAATATAGCAAAGGCAGTCAAAGGATATGCAGTCAGCCCTCCACATTTGTGAGTTTGACTTTTTTGGAATTGATTATTTGTCGATATGATTAATATAGTTTCTGTAGGCACTTCTCAGGTAAACATATAGCTTTTTAAAATTCATATAATGCAAAGTCCGAGTAGAAATTGATTAAATACACAGACTAGTGATGTGAACGAGAAACAGGTTGATTTATCCATCTATGGCTCAAAGACATCAACCAAATATCCGCACCCTCTACTTCCTGTGGTTGTACATTTCCCATTAAGTTTATTTCTTTCTCTGTACATACAGGTGTAAAGAGCTGAAATACCCAAAGGATCTCCCACAGATTTCTATTATTTTTATCTTTGTGAACGAGGCGTTATCAGTCATTCTGCGTTCGGTTCACAGTGCGGTGAATCATACTCCGGCTCACCTATTGAAAGAGATCATTCTTGTAGATGACAACAGTGACGAAGGTGAGCCAATTTATGGATAGTTTTGGAGAACAACACATTAAAAAGCTTTCCTCCAATTTTGTGCAGAAGAAATGTAGTGGGGGTGACATGAGTTTGGGAAAATTTTCTTGCAGCACCCTACTTTTATTATTTACTAGCTTGGATTGCTCGGGTCATTAGAAGAAGTCATTTTTTTTATTTTACAAAATGGTTGTGGGTATACTAAAACTCACATCATGCCAGATTAACCCTGAAACTCCATCAATACTTAAAGTTTGTCATGTTGGGCAAGTTTGCTCAAGATGTAGCATTAGTGGAGTTCAGTATGCTCTCCAGCTGCAGGATGAATTATAACTCCCATCATGCTGGGTCAGTTCCATGAAATCCCTCCAGTACGTTCAGTTGGGCATGGGCGTTCTGTGTGCCAAGTTTAGTCCAATTTCATCTTTGGTGTAGTTCAGAGTGCTCATTGATTACAGGTGAACTATAAATCGCAGTACCTACAATTCCAAAATTTCCAGGCCAATTCCCCTCCAAACCCACCAGTATCCGAATTTGGACATATTGAGTGTGCATACCATGTTTGATCCAGATCCATCTTTGTTTGGGTTCATAGTGTGCTCTGGTTGTAGGTGAACTAAAAGTCCTATAAATCCCCCCATAGAGCTCCAGTATGTTGGTCATGGGGGTTCTGTGTGCCTACAACTCATATAAATCATGGTGATTTCTCTCCAAACCTCTCCAGTATGTTCAGTTGCTGATCAATTCCTATGTTTGTTGCGTGCCATGGAAAAGAATAGGAAAGGGTTAAGAGAGAGGCAGTGGGCAGGGTCATATATAATATATAAACAGGGTTATGCAAATTCCATACCAATGGAGTGTCAGAAACACTGGGATGTCTGTGGTGGGAGAAAAACAGAAAATCTAGGATGAAATTGTCCCCGAATGAAAGCCTTCACTTGAGTGGTGGGCAATCTGGTGTTTGTGGAGGACATTGGCAGGGCTCTTGGACATATTCATGGCACTCACTGCCTGAAATGTCATTACGGAGAGGGCCTTTGGTGTCTCCTGCGTAGTGGGATTTATAGCTGTTTGTGGAGGCAGGAGCTTGTCTATGTAAGTGGACACCCCAGACACATACACACATACATATTTACACTTTTATTATGTGTATAAGTTTAGTATTTGTGTTAGAGACATGCTAGAAAAATATGGCACACAGGGCGCAGTGGATTCTTGGAACACTCCAGAAGGTCTCCAAAGCTGCCAAATTTCTCATACACACACACACACACACACACACACTATCTGTCCCCTCCCATGCATTGCTGTGGCCCAGTCTGTGTATATGTGTTTTGTGTGTGCATATATTTGTGTATTTGTGTATATATGTGTGTTTGTGTTTATATTTGTAGTTTTGCGCATGCATTGTAATGTAATTTTTATATTTTGGCTTTTAAAGTCTCTTCTGCTGTGTTTTATGAGTGATGGTCACACGTTGGCCTGATAGGTGTATTGTGTCCAAATTTGGTGTCAATTCGTCCAGTGGTTTTTGAGTTATGTTAATCCCACAAACTAACATTACATTATACACACACACACACACACACACACAGAGCAAAATGCAGTGGTTTACCTTCACAGTTCCCTTCACACAGTCCCAATCTAAATGTAAAAGAAGAGAGAAAGAGAGAAATCATGCATAACTAAATGAAAACCAAAACTGCAAGTGACGAGTTGCAACAGGCTTAGGCAAGTGCGGTATCTGAACCCAGGCTCTCTAGCTGATTCTCCTGTTTTGCTTTTCAACATTGAAAGGTTTTCCCTTTTTTTTTGGTGGGGGGAGGGGGGAAGAGTTATGAAACATCTGGGAGTCAGATTTACCAGATGTGAGAGACAGTCCACAGAAAGGCTCTGTGTATGTATGCGCTTTGTTGGCTCATTCTGGAAAGCGTGGCTGCCTAGGAAGGGAAGGGAATGAAAATGCAAAACAGTGACTAATATATCTGGAACTCCCGGGGAATGAGAAAAATGTTGAGTGCCTTGAACAAAAGCCTTTTGATTTACCGATTCTCTCAAATTAACATCTTTTCTGAATACTAAATGAAAACCATGCTGCAGCCAATTTGGGATTTCAAACCACAGTGGCATGCTTTGCTGTAACACAGGGGTAATTATAATTTACCAGCTAGGTTGGGAGGCACCCTTGATCATTCAGTGACAGATCGGTCCTTGAAGAGCTTCGTGATAGAAATTCAGGGGGCGGATGTTTCTCTGTCAGCGTCACTCAGTGTTACCGTGTGCTTAATGCTTCAAACCATCATGCAGACTGCGCAAGGCTTTATTTGGGTACTTTTTGTTTCCAGCTCAGGTATCACGCCAGGATGATTGCACTAGCATAAAGATAGTTAAATCTCTTTGGTTTGAAATTGGGTCATCATTTTCGCATATATTTAGTTCCCAACCTTTCCCACCCTCCAAATTATTTCTACATTTATCACTACTATTAGAGTGCCTTAAGATTTCCACATAACTCACATCCCAATCTTGGACAAAGATTCCACACAAATAGTTTTGTGTGCAGTCATTGACAGCTAAACAAGATTTGGGTTGTAAACAACATACTGTATATACTGGAGTATACGCCTAGTTTTTCAGCCCTTTTTTTAGGCTGAAAAAGTCCCCCTTAGCTTATACTCAAGTTATCTATTATTTTACTCTATTATTATTATTATTATTGACACAAAAACACAGTATGTCACAGCAAATGAGATCTATATGCTGGATTTCGTATCACAAAATCACAAGTTGAACACTCCCCAAGCGTCAAGGACTGTGTGATGTATTTTCGAATGATTCGCACAGACCCAAGTCAGGTGGCCTTTTGCAGTTGACAGATCGTGATTTTGTCAATGTTGATTGTTTCCGAATGCTGGCTGAGATCTTTTGGCACGGCACCCAGTATGCCGATGACCACTGGGACCACCTGTACTGTTGTTATTATTATTATTATTATTATTATTATTATTATTATTATTATTATTATTACTTTTACTATTATTATATTTATTATTTTACTATATTATTATTGGACGGATATGTGCTTACACTGAAGAAGATTAGAATAATTGTTCAATCAGACTTGGACAGTCTTATCTTACATTACAGTTTTATGTAAATATTTAAAAACATGGACCTACTGATGCCTCAGTTGATGTAATTGCATTGGTATCTATTTTTATTTTGAAATTTCCCAGTAGCTGCTGCATTTCCCACCCTCGGCTTATACTCAAGTCAATCTGTTTTTCCCATTTTTTGTGGCAAAATAAGATGCCTTGGCTTATATTCGGTTTGGCTTATACTCAAGTATATACGGTATTATTGAGGAAAATGTTATTCATTCGGTGTGCTGCCTGAGGATTACCATATATATGCATCTTAAGGGGCTGCAGCAGCACAGTGGGTTAAACCGCAAGTTGCAGAAAACTTGCTGACTGGAAGGTCAGCATTTTGAAGCTGCGGGTCAGTGTGAGCTCCTGCTGTTAGCCCTAGCTTCTGCCAACCTAGCAGTCTGAAAGCATGCAATATGAGTCGAGCAGTAGGTACCGCCTCGGCGGGAAGGTAAAAGGCGACCATGCAGCCATGCCGGCATACATGACCAGGAGGGTCTATGGACAACAGGCTCCTCCGCATGGAAAAATGGAACAAGGGCACATCTGTGTGGCCAGAGTTGAGCATTGCCTCCACACGCTGCAGATGGAAAGGGAAACCTTTGCCTGTGTTTGTATGGTATGTCATTATTGTTACTGTATAAAAGGCATTGAATGTTTGCCTATATATGTGTATACTGTAACCCTCTCCGAGTCCCTTCGGGGAGATAGAGCAGAATATAAATAAAATGTATTATTATTAACAGGAAAGCAGGTTTTCCTAAGATTTTGTCACATCTGATCATAAGCTACCTACCTGGTCCATAAACTGAGAAAATACATTAGTCCTCATTGCATTCCCAACATTCCTGCATCTGTATAGCTCTTTGGATTTCTTCTGCTTCTAGAGGAATTGAAGGCACCACTAGAAGAATACGTCAATAAGCGGTACCCTGGCCTTGTGAAAGTAGTACGAAACCGGAAAAGGGAAGGCCTGATCCGGGCTCGAATTGAAGGATGGAAAGTTGCATCAGGTCAGATCACTGGCTTCTTTGATGCTCACGTCGAATTCACAGCAGGCTGGTAAGTGAAGAATTCCAACTCCAAGATTCATTTTGCTTTTGGTAGAAGAGTTAAGCTTATTGAAGATCTCCAAGGTCCATGGAGAAAGCTTAAAAAGCAGCGTTCGACTATAACTGTACTGGGATTAACAACTAACCACACGTTGCAATCTACCATATTTCTTTGACTCTATGACACACTTTTTTCTTATAGAAACATCTCTAAAAATGGGGTACATCTTAGAAACACAAGTGTATCCTATGAATTGGTTATGGTGATACTGAAATTAGAGTGTGTCTTACAATTGAGGAAATATGATTGTTTAAATGGTTATGGAGAAAGTCCCATGGGTTTCTCTGCCAACTGGAAAGAGTAGCATAGGTTAGATCAGCGGTTTCCAACCTGTGATCCGTAAGGACAAAAATATGATCCGCAGCCTCACCATTACTACACTGTTGCCTCAAAACCACATGGCAATGAGAGCGACTAGTCTCATGACGGTATGTTGGAATTCTCTTCGGAAGTGCTAAACTTCCAAATTAGATCCGTCTTCAAGAATATCCGCACCAAACGCACAACCCTAATAGATATCATGGACAGATGTCCTTCAAAATGAATTATTTTGCTTTCCATTCCAGGGCTGAGCCTGTTCTCTCACGAATCCAGGAAAACCGGAAAAGAGTCATCCTTCCTTCTATTGATAATATCAAGCAGGATACGTTTGAGGTTCAACGCTATGAAAATTCAGCCCATGGATACAGTTGGGAACTCTGGTGCATGTACATCAGTCCCCCAAAGGATTGGTGGGATGCTGGAGATCCTTCCTTGCCAATCAGGTTAGTTGTAACGTAGGAAGTTGTTGAGCTCTCTGCTGTTAAAGTGTTTTATTGCATTTAGCCATAAGCAAAAAACAGCAATGCACAGTAGAGTGAGGAAAGCACAGAGTAAAGCATGAAAAGGGAAGTTTAAACTCATACATTCTCATAAAACAATCAGGATCCAAAACACCCCTTTGAAATTAAGTAATAATATAACTCACAAGTTTGGTCATGCCTAACATTGGCATTTCCAGCAGGATATCCAAATGCATATTAAATGTGCATGTAACCTGGAATCATAGAATTGTATGAGTGGCATTCCTTAAAGAATATCCCCTGACCCACTTCTATTTAACACAAGATGCTGAAACTGCCCATGTGTAATGATACGAGAGTTAAATGAAAAATAATGCCTCCACCTTTGTTACTTCGGTTTGGATGGGAATATTTTAATAAATCAAATGCAGAAATAATCCTTAGAATGTGCTCTTTAACTACCACTATTCACTTTTCCACATAATCACCAGACAATTGGATACATTTCTGTCAATGATGAACAAGTTTTCTGAAGCCGTCACAGAAGAAGTCAACACTCTGTTTCCACAACTTATCGTACACAGATCTTCCAATAGCCAAGCAAAGCAATAATGTGACCCCCACATTCTTGTGAAATGCCGATTATGCTTGAAATTTCTCTCTGAGCGATACAACGATCATCCTGAATCAATCTGTCAACCTTTTGCTTGTGAAACTCGGTGGTTGCTATCACAGGACGTCCAACTCTTTGTTTGTCAGATGTTTCCACCTCAACATCTTTAAACTTACTCGCCCAACAATGCAGAGTGCTAACATCAACACAATCCCCATAAACAGCTTGCATTTTCTGATGAATCTCCTTTGGGGTGACACCTTGTGCTGTCAACTGCACGTTGCTTGAGTTGCATTGACCATCCGTCTGTGCAGGGTTCCATACTTTGCACTTTAACAACACAACCGTTCAATGCTAAGGCTTCCTGACAAAATGGAACTGTAGAGGAGAGTCTACTGAACAAGCCAGTACCTGCTGCATGACAGTACTGCCATCTGTTGAGGAGTTACGAAGGTGGAGGCATTACTTTTTTATTCAACCCTCGTATAAATCTCTATAGGTTACGTGCCAATTTGCAACTTGGAACTGATAATGGTCTTGATGTTACAGATGCGGAAGTGGTATCAGGTTTAATAATGGACCCAGTGGAATCCAGAGCATTCCTCAGGTTCCTTTCCTTGAAAGACCACACACCAAAGGAGATGCTTGATGAGATGAAAGAGGCTTATGGTGATGATTCCCCATCATATGATGGAGTCAAGAAATGGCAGCGTCAATTCCATTTTGGTGCAAACAGCTCCAATTCCAGGGCGACCCCACTCTGCTATTGATGAACACATCATTCAGCAAGTGGAGGTCACCATTTTGGAAAATTGCCATGTAACCATTCAAAATGTCAAGATGAGTGTGAGGTCCATGGAAAAAATCATCCCATGCAGAAGGGATCTGCTCGCACCTTTCCAGAAACAGGAACATGTCAAATGCTCTCTTGACAGTGATGTGTCATGGAAACCAGGAGGACTTTTTCAACAGGCTGATCACACAGGATGAAAGCTGGGCCCATCACTCGAGTCTGAGACTAAACTCCAGTTAATGCAATGGAAACATCGTGACTCACCACCTCCAAAGAAGGCACGTGCCCAACTCTCAGCAGGCAAGGCCATGCTTGCAGTATTTTGGGGCCAGCATGGAATAGTATTGATGGATTTCCTAGCAAAGAGTCCCATGATAACTGGGGCATACAGGGCTTCACTGCTGCAGAAATTTGTGAGAGGCCATCCAAACCAAGAGACATGGCATGCTCACCAAAGATATCCGCCTTCTGCCAGACAATGCAACAGTTCACAACTCATCTGTTGTTCAAATGGAAGCATGCATTGAAATTTGACTGTATCCCCCTTATTCACCTGACCTAGCACCATCAGACATCCATTTCTTTCCAAAAATGAGGTTTTTTTTGGAAGGGCAAGCATTTCTCAGATGATGAGACTCTGATTTCTGAAGTCACAACGTGGCTTTTGGAGCAACCTGTCAACTTCTACAACTGAGGTGTTTACAGTTGCTTCAAAAGATTGGAGAAGTGTGTCCTGAGGTGGCACCGATGGAGAGTAGGACTCAGAACTGGGCCGAGTTTCATTGCTCTCAGTCCACAGGAAGAAGTGGGTCAGGGGAAATCTTTAATGCATGCCCTTCTCAGAGCTGGAAAATACCAGAAGGGTTAGCCAGTCCATTGACCTCAGTTGAATGATTGGCAACTACTCCCAACTATAGAAAACTAATCGAATCAATCAAATTTGGTAAGCAACTTCTTGTATAGAAGCTGCACTGAAAGTTTATATATCTAAAGATATCTATTTTTTCTCCACCCTTGTTTAGGACTCCGGCTATGATTGGGTGCTCTTTTGTGGTGAACCGACAGTTCTTTGGTGAAATTGGTCTTCTTGATCCAGGAATGGATGTTTACGGTGGAGAGAATATTGAGCTTGGCATTAAGGTGAGACCATTGCAATTACATTATTGAGGGTGAGCGAGAGCACATTTTGAGCATTATATGTCACACAAAACTATATTGCAGTTTTAAAAAGAACCATTCATGTTTGCATTGCTCTCACATACACGAACAAAAAATATCAAGAGGTGCCTGGTTCTAAAACAGAGCAATGACTATTATAATGACCTTGTAAATATATGAATTCTTTATATTAATAGGTATGGCTCTGCGGAGGTAGCATGGAAGTCCTTCCATGTTCTCGGGTTGCACACATTGAACGTAAGAAGAAGCCTTACAACAACAACATTGGCTTCTACACGAAGAGGAATGCCTTGCGGGTGGCCGAGGTGTGGATGGACGATTACAAGTCTCATGTATACATTGCGTGGAATCTTCCTCTGGAGGTATATATATATATATGTGTGTGTGTGTGTGTTGTGTAAGGCAATGACACCCCTGTAGTTTCCCACAGTTGTGAGTTAGCTTGATGTAATGAGGACACATTGACAACTCTGTAAATTTAACAGGAGAAGGCGGAAGGGAGAGAATTACGTATATATTTATGTACATATCCATCTCATGTATTTTAAGCCTGAATTGAAGAACCATAGATTGGTAAACCATAGTTTTAGGCATTGCTGAGTGGTCATAACTTTGATCATGTGGCAAAGGAAGCATCTGTATTTAAGTTAGAAAAATCAGATGTTCACATATTGGATGGATGAAACTTAACATATATATATTCATGTATAAGTCAACATCATGGATAAGTCAATCACAAACTTTGGGGCCTTTTCTATGGTTTGTACTGTATTTTATACCTTTTTGGTATGTATATGCCAATAAAGGCATATTGGATTGGAAACATTGTGGGTTGGATAAAATCCTTGGATAAGTCCAGACTCATCCCATAGAGATGTATGTATTTTATTCTGATGTAATTTTTGTTGTTTTTTATTTTGTATTTTATTTTGCTGTATTGTATCTTCAGGCCTGGCCTCATGTTAACCCCGAGTCCCCTTTGGGGAGATGGTGCGGGGTATAAATAAAGATTATTATTATTATTATTATTATTATTATTATTAATGGAGTGTTAGCTCCCCCTATGGTTACTTTTAGAAAATAATAGTTAGGGCATAATACTCACATGGACCAATTTTTGAGGTTGATTTTTGACTAAAATTATTGATTTATATATGAGTATATAGCAGCGTTTCTCAACCTGGGGATTGGGACCCCTGGGGCGGTCATGAGGGGTGGTCAGAGGGGTCACCAAAGACCATCAGGAAATACATATTTCTGAGGGTCTTAGGAACCCTTTTGGTAGAGAAGGCTAAAGATCTCTTCGCCTCTCCTTCTCTTTCTTTTTGGAAGCAGGTGACGAATCCTTCCACCAAAATCCCTCCTCTACTATATCTCTATCATAGGATCCTCTCAGCCAAGGGGAGGGCTGTTTCTGAGACTCCAAGTGAGGAGGGGAGAGCAGACGTGCTTGGCACCTGGCAGCGTGGTGCATACGTGTGGGCGAGGGGGAGCGCACGAGGCTGGAGGGAGGCTCTTGCCAGCAAGTCCCTTCAAGGCATGGGGGTTCTGTGTGGGACGTTTGTGGGCTTCAGAATGCTCTTTGGTTGTAGGTGAACTATAAATCCCAGCAACTACAATTCCCAAATGTCAAGGTCTATTTTCCCCAAACTCCACCAGTGTTCATATTGGGCATATTGAGTATTTGTGCCAGTTTGGTCCAGATCTATCATTGAGTCCACAGTTCCCTCTGGATGTAGGTGAACTACAACTCCAAAAGAGTGACCTTAGAGAAAGATTTGCATCAGGTAGAACTAGAAATTCAAGTGACTTCCTGTCTTTTTCAGAACCCGGGAATTGACATCGGAGACGTTTCTGAGCGAAAAGCCCTCCGAAAAAATCTGAAGTGTAAGAACTTCCAATGGTATCTGGACCATGTCTACCCAGAAATGAGAAGATATAATAATACTGTCGCTTATGGAGAGGTAACCGACTGAGCCAAATAATATATAGAACCCTATGAATTTAGAATGCGTTCATTGTTTTATTCTAATGAATATAATAATGGGCCATCCAGTCCAACCCCATTCTGCCAAGTAGCAAGGAAATTGCATTCAAAACACCTCCAACAGATGGTCACCCAGCCTCTGTTTAAAAGCTTCCAAAGAAGGAGCCTCCACCACACTCCGGGGCAGAGAGTTCCACTGCTGAACGGCTCTCACAGTCAGGAAGTTCTTCCTCATGTTCAGATGGAATCTCCTTTCTTGTAGTTTGAAGCCATTGTTCCATTGCATCCTAATCTCCAGGGAGCAGAAAACAAGCTTGCTCCCTCCTCCCTATGACTTCCTCTTACGTATTTATACATGGCTGTCATCATGTCTCCTCTCAGCCTTCTCTTCTTCAGGCTAAACATGCCCAGCTCTTTAAGCCGCTCTTCATAGGGCTTGTCTCCAGACCCTTGATCATTTTAGTCTGGGCTTATACTCGAGTCAATACGTTTTCCATTTTTTTTGTGTGGTAAAAGTAGGTGCCTTGACTTATATTCGGATCAGCTTATACTCGAGTATATACGGTAATTATGGAATAGCTTTTGGTCCTAAATGTTGACTGTGATGAAAAGAAATAGAGGGCGAATCCCTGCTTTTTTGCTACGTCATAAATCCAAGGGTGCATCTATACTGTCAAATTAATGCAGTTTGACACCACTTTAATTGCCATAGTGCAGTGCTATGGAATTCTTGGCAGAGAAAGCTAAAGACCTGTAAAACTACAGTTCCCAGGATTGCATAGCATTGGATCATGGCAGTTGAAGTAGTGTCAGTTTGCATCATTTTTGCAGTCCATATACATTTCTCTTATTTGTGGTGCAAAGGAGGAGCTGCCTGTCGTGATGTAGAATGATCACCCCATTGTCATTAAGCAGATGCTCATTCTGTGTCCTAGTCATTCTTCTTTGCTGCAGTTGCCTTTGCATTTTTTCTGTTTACTTTAAGATTGGATTTTAATGGGTTTTCAGATACTGTAGCCAGTGCTTTCTAAATGAAAAAATCAGCATACTATATTAAAAATAAATTATAAGTGAGACCAGCCGATGGTTGTTAGTTGCCACTCAAAGTGAACTCTGGTTTCTTGAAAAGCTATTCCTTCACATGGCCTCAAAATAGCTCAGTGCTCAGATATTCTGGTTCAGAAAACACATGTTGTTCATTAGAGGAGATAATTCTCGTTTGAATTTGTTTCAGCTACGCAATAATAAAGTGAAAGACGTCTGCCTCGATCAAGGACCACAGGAAAACCACACCGCAATCCTGTATCCATGTCATGGATGGGGACCTCAGGTTAGAGCATATACATATCCCCATTATATGATAGAAGAGCTGTGTCCTGAGTTGCCCTTCAAAAACAGCCTTAATACAATGTTGAAAGTAAAAGAAAAATGCTTTACTTCAGCAAACACAAAGGATAAGCAGATGCAGTTGAAAGATGCAAAAGAAAGCAAGGAAGTATTAATACAGACCCAAATTAAATTCTTTTACAAAATCCTAAAAAAACCAGCAGTCTTGATGAGGATGAACAAGCTGAGGATCAATACTGACAAAACAGAGGTCCTCCTGGTCAATCGTAAGCTGGATTGGGGTATTGGGTGGCAACCTGTGCTTAACGGGGTTGCACTCCCCCTGAAATCACAGGTCCGCAGCTTGGGTGTCTCCTGGATTCAGCGCTGATGCTTGAAGCTCAGGCGTCGACGGTGGCTGGGAGGGCCTTCGCACAATTAAAGCTTGGGCGCCAGCTGCGACCATACCTCGTGAAGTCAGATTTGGCCATGGTGTTCCATGCCTTAGTTACCTCTAGATTGGACTATTGCAATGCCCTCTACGTGGGGCTGCCCTTGAAGACGGCCCGGAAAGTCCAATTGGTCCAATGAGCGGCAGCCAGATTATTAACTGGTGTGAATTACAGAGAGTGGTCAACCCTCCTGTTTAAGGAGCTCTACTGGTTACCGTTTATTTTCTGGGCCCAATTTAAGGTGCAGGTTTTGACCCTGAACGGTTTGGGACCCACCTACCTTCACAACCGCATTTCCATTTACGAACCCACACAATCTCTTTGGTCTTCCGGAGAGATCACTCCTGCGTGCATCACAAGTGTGACTTGTGGGGACGAGAGAGAGAGCCTTCTCTGTGGTGGCCCCTCGACTCTGGAACTCACTTCCCAAAGACATTAGGCAAGCCCCCACGCTGGCAATCTTCAGGAGGAATCTGAAAATTTGGTTATATTCTAATGTGCCTTTAGTGATTGAACGTACTCCCTGACCAAAATCTTTGCACTAAATGACCTCAGTAGCACTTTATTTATGGTTCGTACAATTAAACCCTTCCTTGTATTGTCAAAGACTTTCATGTCTGGAATCACTGGGTTGTTGTAGGTTTTTTCGGGCTATATGGCCATGTTCTAGAGGCATTCTCTCCTGACGTTTCCCTGCATCTATGGCAAGCATCCTCAGAGGTAGTGACCTCACTACCTCTGAGGATGCTTGCCATAGATGCAGGCAAAACGTCAGGAGAGAATGCCTCTAGAACATGGCCATATAGCCCGAAAAAACCTACAACAACCCAGTATAACTTCCTCATCCCTGGATCCCCCTCCCGATGTTTGACATTGCCCTATCTCCCAGTGTTTTAAAATTTTATCCTGAATTTGGCCCTGCCCAGCAAAATCTTTTGTGTCTTAATGTCTGATTTTATATTGTTGTGTTACTATTATATTGTTTTGCATTTATGTATTTTTGTTTTTGTTTTATTATGTTCTTGTGCTATATTGTTGTGTATTGTACTGATTGACGTGCCCTCATGTAAGCCGCACCAAGTCCCCTTGGGGGAGATGGAGCAGGGTATAAATAAAGTTTTATTATTATTTATTATTATTTAAATGCAATTTGTGCTGCTATGAGAGTCTGTTCATCTTGCACAAAGGATCACACATGGGGATGGTTGAGATGGGTCAGGGATGAAGCCGCCCTAACTTTAAATAGAAATCACTTTTGGGGAGAGGGGTTCAAACTTGACGCAATGTCTTTTAAAATAATATTTTATTACAGTATCTTTAAAAATAGTCTCAAAACACTTTGTAAAATTAAATCAGTTTGGGTTTTATACCCAGCTTAGAGAGATCAGACTTGGTTTCAGTGTCTCTCGTTTTGCTTCCATATCCAGCTTGCCCGCTATACCAAAGAAGGAATTCTTCATTTGGGTGCCCTTGGGACCACAGTCCTCTTGCCAGACACTCGCTGCTTGGTGGATAATATGAAGAGCCGGTACCCTCAGCTCCTCGACTGTGACAAAGTGAAGAGCAGCCTGCACAAGCGGTGGAGTTTTATCCAGGTTTGTATCTTTTTGTTAATTCGGAAGAGACCAGTCCCCAAAGCCAAGTCCTCCCATCCAGTTTTTGTTTTAAAGACTTCGACACACTCCCAGGCAGCATCTTCTACTGCCTAACAACCCTTTCCGTTACAA